AACACTGAGTCTCATGCCTGTATAAATTAAAGACAAGTTTAGTTCTTATTTGATTGGTCTTCAATAGTTATAAGTTTAGTTTTATTTTTGTTGTTGTTTTTTTTAAGAAATATCTTTTTCAAATATATTTTTTAAAAAAAACTGAAATATATTCTGATAAAATTTGTATCATTTTTTATTTATATTTATGCTTAAATTGACCTTCCTGAATGCATTGGGAGGAAATCCAGACAGTGGTACCAGATTTAAAATATCAGTAAACTTTGTTCCTGGTTTTTCTATCCCATAAACCCTCAATACCTGGTAGCGATTGCTGTCTTGGTATTAATTTCAATAATTTTTTTTGTACCACGCCATTTGCCTATTTCAGCTGGTTAGTCTACACAACACTGTACTATCTACACAACAGTGTGCTGTCCTGAATTATATGTTTCATGTTTGTTTGTTTGTTTTATATATGTATAGTGTATGACCAATCATTATTGTTCAAAATTCTTGAATCCTATCGCCAAGTAAATAAATCATTGTGTAATGAATGCTGTCTCTTTGACTTGACAGAAATGTTTGAGCAACAAGAAGAAGGTGATAGTCGTTCCCAAAACTTCTTCCTCATCAGATAGTTCGTGGCTGGGACTAACTAAATATATCTGGTCAGGGTGAGTAATTCAGTTTGACTGCAAGCAGAAGAATTCCTTGTGATTATTAAGGAAATGTATTGTATTTATTTTTCCCTCTTGTTAAATATGCACAAGAAAAATTCAAACGTTTACTTCAGCACTTTATAGCGTACGTCTGATGTGGCTATCACAATGACCATATGTAAGTCTGATGTGACTATCACAATGACCAGACCTATTTACTATCCCCAACAGACATCAGGTGAGGAGGAACTCAAAACATCCTCAAACATGCACCAAACCCCGGAACCTTTCTCTGTGTATCCAAGCACTCTACCACTCAGACATCATGTTTCATAAATATACATAAGTACATTCTTCTCAGCATTTAGCTTATCTCAACTGAAATATTGATGGGTTAGATACTAGTCCTTTTATGTGATATAAATGTGCAGTTGTCTTCATACCTTCACCTATCCCTTAGTCTGTTGTAACGTTGGGGTGCTACATAAGATTTGTCAACCATCTTTCTCCATTCTTCTCTATTTGTTGCCTTTGATAGAGCCTCTTTCATTGGCAGGCCTGTCCATTCTTTTAAGTTGCAATTCTTCTCAATTTAATTTTTAAGAGGGAGTTTCTGAAACCACTGTATCAAGGATACATCTTCATCTAGCCAGCTTTTTGCTGCTGAGCTGTAGGCTGTTTAGCAGTCTATGTCAAGGAAAAATTGTGTGCTGTTTTTTTTTTTTTATTGTTCTTACTGCCACACAAGAGTAATTATTATAATTAATACAAAGTACAGGACTCAAAGACTAGCTGTATATTATCTTGATCCATTCCACCAAGATACAAGACAGTGGTTATAATGTTAGGATTATGTGTTGCTTATCCCTTCTTTGCTTTATTTGGAAGCTGAAAAAGTATGTATCGATCATGAGAAGAATTTTTTTCTGTAGTTTGGCCTGCAAGATAAGCAAAAAAAATATGTACTTACTAATTATCACAATTCTTTTTCTTGATATTGTGTACTGTAGTATTTCATTTGTTTCCTTCTACCATGCAATGATGTCTTTGGTTTGTTTGGTGAGGAAATATTAAACTGAAAGACAAAGTTTGTATCACTGGCTCCATTAATCCTGTTTGTTTTCACTCAACATCTAGCTATGTGTATGAATGTCCAAACTGTGGGATCATATACAGAAGTCGAGAACATTGGTATGGGAATGAAGAAGAGGAGAAAGCTCTGCATGTAGAGTACAGACATGTTTGGCCACAGGTATATATCTAGCTATGTTGTTATTTGCTAATGAATGTGCTTGCATGTACAGAGTTTATTATTTTCTTTAATTGAATTTTCATTTCTTGAGAAAAATTATTATAAAGCTTCTAAAAAAAAACATTCAAGCTATACAGTTCTTCTTTGTTTATATATATTTTTGCCATAGATATTTTAATTTTTTTTTTTTTTTGTATTGAACGAAATTACAAATGGCCAGCTTTAAATTGTTTTCTGTTTTTAGGGTCCAACAGGGCTTGAAGGCTCCCACAATGCAGCCCGTAAAGTTATTGATGGATTTCACTATGTTGCCAACACCATCAGCAGTGTTGGAGCCAGGCCCACAAAGTACCTAGGAGAGTGGACAGCTGACCAGATCAACCCATCTTACTGGGTGCCCAACAGTGAAATTATTGTAAGGATCTCTATAGTCTCAATATTAACTCTTTGTAGCTTTCTAAGACTTTTGTCTTTTAGAATGTACAAGGAAATAGAATGAAGTTTTTTTCCTTTTTTACTCTTTCTTACAACTTGGAAGCCAAATAATAATTTTATGTTCAATTATCCATCTTTCAGAAATGTTCTAATCCAGAATGCCAGATTTTGTTTGACTGTGCAGAACAAAAACATCATTGCCGAGCCTGTGGCAAAGGTTTCTGCTCGGAGTGCTCTAATAAGAAGAGGCCAGTACCAGAAAGAGGCTGGGGTGATGACCCCGTCAGAGTTTGTGATTCCTGTTATTCTAGTAGTGAAACCGGTAATGTTTAGTATTGATTTTTTTTGTTTTCTATTACATCTAAGATTCTAAAACATGTGCAGTTAGTAGTCATTTATGTTTCATTCTACAGAAGCAGTGGTTGACTCAGAAGGAACAGCTTTGACGGCTAGAAAAGTCGGAGAAGCTGTTACTATGACATTTAGTGTTGTGGCCTCAGCATTGGACTATCCAATAGGTCAGTTGTTCTTTGTTTCTTGTTTGTCAAGCTTTTTAATAAATAGACATATATATTAGAATGTATGTAGCTATGACATATATTACACCTTGTCTATTAGGACTTTTAGAATGTATGTGGCTATGACATATATTAGACCTTGTCTATTAGGACTTTTAGAATGTATGTGGCTATGACATATATTAGACCTTGTCTATTAGGACTTTTAGAATGTATGTGGCTATGACATATATTAGACCTTGTCTATTAGGACTTCTAGAATGTATGTGGCTATGACATATATTAGACCTTGTCTATTAGGACTTCTAGAATGTATGTGGCTATGACATATATTAGACCTTGTCTATTAGGACTTCTAGAATGTATGTGGCTATGACAAACCAGGTATGTTTTATGTACTTTGTCACACCCTAAATAAATGAAGCATTTGCAGGTGAACTCTTTATTTGTCATCTGCAACTATCTTTCATAATAGATTTGCTTAGGGCCTCAATTGATTGTGCCTTAGTCTTTGCAAGAGAGTGTCTTGTTATCTTTAAAATGCTTCTCTTGCATGATTCTCTTTTGAGCTCATAAAAAAAGATAAAGCCCTATCTCTTGTATTATAAGTATTTGCTTATATGTAAATTCTAAACAATATGGAGAAAAAATGGGGATGTAGAACTATGCTCGTAATGTAACTTTAAGTCACACATCAGATGATAAGTTAAATAGAAAGAATGGACAGGCCTGTCTTGAAAGAAATTCTATCCAAGGCAAATGGTAGAGAGGAATATAGAAAGATGGTCTACAGATCTTGTGTGGTGCCCCAATGGCTCAACAGACTAAGGGATAGGTGAAGATGAAGAGAAATATTCATGACTTTTGATTAGCTAAATGAGACCCAAACTACACAATATTTTTCCTTTATTTATACTGTTGATCAAACTGAGATTAAAGAAGCTGTGACTAAGTAAATTTTAAAATATTACAAAAATTAAGATCTTTGGTCTAGAAGGCACAATTTGTTTTTTAAGCTTTAAATTTTATTTGCTTGGTAGGAATTATTAAGAGTTCTGCTAGGCCTGCTTACTGGACACCTGATGAACAGATCAAAGCTTGCTGTGTCTGTGAACAAAATTTTGGACCCCGTCTAGCTATACACCACTGCCGCGCATGTGGACAGGGTGTGTGTGAAAACTGTTCTCCTAACAAGAGGCCTGTCCCCCTGCGAGGCTGGGACTATGCAGTTCGTGTGTGCACTAGGTGCGAGAAGAAGAAGGATGTTATGTAAACTTTTTTTTTTTGTTTCTTGTTTTCTTTGATTGTTTTGTTTACTTTGTTGATTGATTAAAAATAGCCAACTTGAAAATAATTGTTTAGTTTAAAAATGATCTTTTGGGTTATTTTTATGAGTTGAAATGGATTGTTTTTTACCAAATTGTTGAATGTCATACATTTGATATCTTTCTAAAAAGAAAGATGTGTGTCACATGACAGCAGGCTTGACATAGTACAAAACAGTTTCAGAATTGTTTGTTCTTTTTTTTTCCTGTCCAAACATTCTTTTGGTAGCCAATCTTCCACATCCCCATTCTTTTATGTTCAAGATAAATTGTTATGATATATGATCACTTCTGATGTTATGACTGTTGATCGTTCATCTTTTTAAATAGACCAGTTTGGCAGTTATTCTCTCTTTTACTTTGCCATTACAACCCTAAAAATGAAGTGCACTATGACCTAGAATCTTATTTCCTAATTTAATTATTTGAAATGTTTGTAAATATAAGTAATGCATTTTTATAAGAAAATCTATTTGTATTATAGCGCCATGTATACAAATATGAGCTAAGACCATGGTAGGTGATTTCAGTCTGGGCCAGACAGGTTGATAAGTCTCAATGTCATTCTTCTTTCTCATTCTGGACTTGAAGCCAGACAGGTTGATAAGTCTCAATGTCCTTCTTCTTTCTCATTCTGGACTTGGGGTCAGACAGGTTGATAAGTCTCAATGTCCTTCCTTCTCATTCTGAACTTGGGGCCAGACAGGTTGATAAGTCTCAATGTCCTTCTGTTTTTCTCATTCTGGACTTGGGGTCAGACAGGTTGATAAGTCACAATGTCCTTCCTTCTCATTCTGAACTTGGGGCCAGACAGGTTGATAAGTCTCAATGTCCTTCTTCTTTCTCATTCTGGGCTTGGGATCTGCAACAATAACAATATGGTTTGAAAGTTTGTTGTAGTCTTGCCACTTTTCAATCATGCCAAGTCATTCTTATTGTGATATATCTCTCCTATCTTCTTCTTCTAGCCAGCTTTTGCAGTTAATGATGTCTTTATACATTAGAAATGTTGCACAAGAAAGCAAATTCTGAAAGAAATATATTTCATTCTCCTAATTTGAATATGACTCACTTGATATTCTTATTTACTGCCAAAACTTTTGTTCATGCTTTCATTCTGTCAAATATTTGTTGTTTCCACAATGTTATCCCACTTCAGAATGTTCATTCATTATAGGCTTGTATTTTGAAGAATGTTTAAATAAATCTTGATTATCCTCTCCAGGCAATATTCATTCTAAGAAACATTGGCTTGTTTAGATTTGGATTTGTAAACAAAATTATTATTGTTTGAGATTATAAGATTTTTGTTGCTTTGGCATTTTATTTGCATTTTCATTTTTCTTATGGTTTGTTTCAAACTTTTTCAGTCGGTAATTCCATTTTTTTTTCCTAATAAAAATTTTTTTTTCCCTGTTAATAGTAATGGATAAAAGCGGAACTTTTTTCTCAATGGCTGTGAGTGACAATAATTTTTTATTTAATGTTCATCTTGTTTTTTTTCTAACTATATCAAAGCATTTGTTATATGTTACCATAAATTTTTCATTACAATGTTCATGAGAAAAAGCAAAAACTTTTAAATAAAGGACCAAAAAAAAAGCAAATATCGCCACTAAGTTCTCATAAGGATTGTTTAAAAACAAAATGCACAATAAAAATACAAAATTGAAATAAATGACAAATTTGAACTAAATCGCAGTCATGCAGCAGTCCCAAGTTTGTTCACAATAAGGATTTTGTAATTAAAAAAAAAACTCTTATAGACCAATGCTTAGTATGCTTTGTTTCTTGGATGTCTATAACAGATAATACAATTTTCTACCATAGTTAACTCTTGATAGTCTGAACATTACAGGGCTGGTCGGGTGTCAGATTGCCAAAAAATATCAGATTACGAAAGGTTGGCTGTACTTCACAGAATTTACCTGTATATGTCTATAAAATTGTAATTGTAATCAAATATTCTTTTAACTTTGAAGGTTATAAAATAAAAAAAGTTATTTATCTTACAACTGTGGGCCTCAGAAACAGGACCTTTATATCATCTGCCTCATATATTGCAAAGTCAGAAAGGGGGAACTTTACTTTTAAAAATAAAAAACATGATTTTAGCTTTCAAAAACTGTGCTAAAGTACAAGTTAATAAATTACGGTTATTACATGAATCTACGTCCATGCCATGTCAGGTTACTGAGTATGTTGGATCTTGAACTATCTAGAGTCAACTGTATGTAAACTGTTTTAATTATTACAACAAATTTTTAAATTGAAGTCTAAACATTTTTGTTACAATCATTGTGATTAAATTATGTAGTATTTGTATTTTCTGGTCATTGTCATCATGACTGTAACATTCATTTAAGCATACATTCTATTCCAAATATTTACTGTGTAAAAACATACATGGAGTGTTGTTTCTCTCAATATTGACCTGTACCATGAGAGAAAGCTTAGGTTAAAATGAGATCTAGGATGGTTATGACTTTGTAAACCTTGTTAGCTCATTGGACCACTTTCATTAAGTTGATTCCACCACTTCTTTGTTTGCATATCACAAACTTGTAGCACTTGGTGTGTAGAACTAAACATCTTATGTGATTTTGTTAAATAGAATTGAATATGAATTCACTTGAAAAAGGTTTGATAGTTGATGCTTTTTCTTCATTTGAATACTAAAATAACCTGTATGTTCATTTTTGTTATTACTTTATTGTAGGGTTCCAACAGTGCTATCAATGCACTAAATAAAGTTATAAATCAACAAAAACTGGCCTTCATTTGATTATTTTATATATTCATCTAATATGTGTAAAGACTAAGACTGCTATATTGATCCTTACGGAAATTTGTTGTGATTACAAAGACTCTTTTCTCATATAAAGACAACACAACAGAAAAATACACATAAATACAACAGACAACATAAAGAGTTCATTCAGCGACTACACACAGGTATCTTGGTGCATTTCATGTTCCCTGATCAATGAGTGGCGGTGATAAGAGTCTGACCGAGTGAGGTACGAACGAGTTTTGTACCGCTCCGTTTTTATTTTGATTGACAGCAGTCACCCACTTCGAGACGACCTGACCTAGTTCTGATGGAGCGGGTGGCCATTGTCTTCCATGATTTTTTCGTAGGCACTTTTGTGAGTGTAATTTTTTATGCTTTTTTAATGATGTTTTCTAGACGTCGCAACAGTTTAGATGAGGCATTGCCTTGCCAACACGTTATCCCATATGTTAGCATATTTTATATTGTCACGTCATAAAAGTCTCAAGGATCTTCTTGTTTAGTTTAAAGCTACTGAGTTTGTATAGAAAAAAAGAGTCGCTGGGCTGTTTTCTTTGTCAGAGCTCCAAGGTGGTCTTCCCATGAAAGCTTGTTGATGATAACGCCTAGATATTTATATGCATTTACTTGTTCTATAGATGTAGTGTTTATTTGCAGTTCACGTATAATTTGTTTTTTCTTTCTAAAATCTATTATAAGTTCTTTAGTTTTTGTGACATTCAGTTCTAGAAAGTTGTCGGTGCACCAGTTTGTAAACTCTACTATCGAGCTTCGATACTGAGTTTCGTCTCCTGAAATAAGACCGACTATGGCAGTATCATCAGCGAATGTAATGAGTTTAACTGAGTCATAGATGCTTCTTATGTCATTAGTGTAAAGCAGTGATGCCCAAACTGCGGGCCGGACGTGGTTTGGACAGGCCCGCCAAAACATCGGCACAAAATGTAGGAAAAAAAAAGGTTGAAAAATTTATTTTTTCTGTTAGGACTCTAGCTTTTTTTATTCTATGGATTTCATTCTAATCTATTTTCTTGTAATATTCATGTTAACTTTATTTCTATACTGCGGCTGTATAGAGCTAGCCGTGTTCTTGACATCTCATGTGTGTAACACTTCACATCTTTTCTGCATCATTTTGGTTCATGTACTTTTGACATCAACATGATTGGTGTCGTTTCATTTGACATTTGCACGTAAATGAAATGGGAGAGCTGAAGAAACGAAAATTGGATGTTGAAACTTCCAGGAAAAGTTGACAGATCTTTTTTTTTTGTTGGTGGAACATAATAAGCCAACATTTTTGATCTGTAAAATGTGACTGTTTTTAAGGAACATAGCATAAACGGCATTCTAAAACAAACCATTACAAAAATATGGTGGTATTGTTGGTTTGAGTCGCCAAGAAAAGATCGCATACGTCTAGAGTTGAGCGACTGACGAAAATATTTACCAAGAAGTCAAGAAATGAGTCTCGGCTGTAACGTAGGCTACAGACTACAGAGTTGCTCACATTATCAAGAGAAATGAAGCATAAAAAGATGCTTGCTAGCAGTGATGGAATAAAATCGGCCTGAAAAAAAAATGAAGCTGTCAGTGCTTCTGGCATGACAGTAGCAAAACGAGTCGAGTAGACGATGTTGGTGAAAATCATCCATTTAAAACTAAATGACAGAGCAGCAGATTTTGAAATAATTACTATTGCCGCTGAGGAGTGGCACCAGCTGGAACTGAGTGACTTACAAATCCAGATTTCCAGCTTGAGAATTTTCGAATAATACAGACAATAGATTTCTAAGCTGTGTTGTCTACATTTCCGAAAAAAATAGATGGTTATGATCACAATGTTTACAAGCACTTATTTTAGTAGAAAACTTGTTCAGTTATAAGACACCTGAAACCCTTATTATGTAATTTAATTATGGTGTAAGTAGGCCTATTGGAGCCACGAAATTGTACTATAACTATTTAAAATGATTTATTCTCTATTCCATTTTTTGGTATCTTTTTTGTTAATGTGGCCCGTGACACGAGTGTTAGAAATTAAAATGGCCTGCAGGCCGTATAAGGTTGGGCATCACTGGTGTAAAGAGTGTATAGTACAGGAGAAAGTAAACAACGTTGTGGAGCACCCGTACATAGTACTCGAGTTGACGATTTGGTGTTGTTGATTTGGGGTTGGGTTGAAAAGTTTAGAACCCATGCTTGTACATAAGGGCTTACATTTAAGTTACTCAGTTTGTTTATCATTAGATGTGGCTGTGTGGTATTGAAAGCCGAGGAGAAATCTACGAAGAGGACTCGTGCATATGTTTTGGGTATATCGAGATGCTTATAAAGCTGGTCCAAAAGCAATAGAATGGCATCCTCAGTTCCTCTAGCTGCTTTGTATGCAAATTGGTGAGGGTCTAGGCTGTTATTGACTTTTGCTACAAGTTGTTTAAGCATATATTTTTCAAAACATTTCATAACAATAGGTGTTAGTGCTAATGGGCGGATATCATTTAAGGGGAGGTATCCCTAGAGAAAATCGAGTTTTAGGTCTAGGATATCGATTTTTAACTAATAACACAATTAAGACAGGTACTTTAACATCGCTATTTTTGTACGCGGAAGTGTGTTTAAAAGCTGGTCTTCTTGGTTTCGGTCGCGTCCCCGGTTACCGTCGGAAAAGTGCGTAAAACGTCATTATTTTTTAACCAATTTTCTAGATTAGAGTATCATTTTGTCGGGGAGAAAATGGCGATTCTTTTGATACCAAATTTGACGGGATTGGTTTACTAGGTCGTTTTTTTTTAAGTTTCCAAAATTAGGGTGTGTTCCAGATATGATTACTTTTTTATTTTTGTTTTATCTTCTTATCTTATATAATACAGACGTTACTTCAAAAAAGAAGATGATTACGTCCTACGCGTCATGCATTTAGTCATGCATATTAACCAATGACTTAAATTCTGCCAAGTCACTGGTTTTTCTGGCTAGCTCAGGCAACCCATTCCATGCTCTAATAGCACTAGGGAAGAAGGAGTATTTGTACAAATTTGTCCTAGCATATGGGACGAGGAATGTGCCTTTATTTTTGTGTCTTTCAGAGTATTTTATTAAATTTTGTTTTTGTATTTGAAGATTATGGTTCAGTGTTTTATGTATAATTGCTACTTTACTTTTGAGTCTTCTGTCCTGAAGGCTTTCTAAATTTAGTGATTTTACTAATGGTGTTACCCTAGTCAAATGTGAATATTCGTTTGTTATGAATCTCACTGCTCTATTTTGTGTTTGTTCCAGTTTCTTAATGTTTTCTTGAGTTGAGGGGTCCCACACGGTGGATGCATATTCTATTATTGGCCTAACCAAGGTTAAATAACATTTTAGTTTTATGTTCTTATTTGATTTATAGAAATTTCTTTTAATAAACCCTAATGCTTTGTTGGATTTTTTTATAGTTTCATCAATATGTGGATTCCATGACAGTTTTTCATTTATTATAACACCTAGGTATTTTGAGTTTTTAGTCTGTGTTACTGGTTTGCCATGAATAAGATAAGTGGAATTAATTTGTTTTAGTTTTTTTGTTACTCTTAACAACTGACAATTAATTTATAATAGTAATTATTTATATTGGTTAGTAATTTGTAGTATCCATATCTACATAACAATCATGAGTGATTATTAAGCTATTTTGGATGGCACTCTTGGTATATGACATAAATGAGCTTTTCATAGAAACTTTACACAACCTAAGTTTAGATCAAATCATAAAAAGCCAACTAGATTAAACAACACATTAGATCTCTTCTTAACCAACAGACCTGGATTAGTAGTTGATTATGATATTATCCCTGGTCTATCAGACCATGAGATCATAAAAATACACAGTCAGATAAAAGCAGTAGCCAATACAAAAACCAAAAGAAAAATCTTACTCTGGAATAAATGTAACCTAACACAACTACACCAAGCTGCATTAAACTTTCAACAAACATTCTTATTAGAAAAAGACATTAACCAACCAGTCGATGACCTCTGGAATTTCATTAAAAACCATCTTAAAAGCATTATAGAAAATCATATACCAACTAAATACACATCAAACAAAATAAATAAATGCTGGTTTAATAATAGACTAAAGAAGCTTTGTAAACAGAAGGAAAACCTATATAGAAAATTTAAAGCAACCAAGGCAGAAAGAGTTTACAAAAAGTATATAAAAATTAAACACCTAACCCAAAAAGTAAGCAGACAGCTGCAGAGTGAATACATCAACAATGTAATATCTAAAGATAACAACAAAAACCTATGGTCATACATTAAGTCTAAGAAAATGGAAACAACAGGCATAGCGCCATTAAAAGATGAACATAACATAATACATAATGATAATGAAACTAAAGCAAACATCCTAAACAAATACTTCAGCATTCTCAGCCCCAGGAGACAAAGACATATTTCTTAATTTGAACCAAGTAGACAACATAGAAGATTTAGTAGTACAAGAAAATGGAATTAAAAAACTATTAGCCAACACCAAACCAAATAAAGCGTCTGGACCTGATGGTATTCCAGCTAGATTACTCAAAGAACTAAGCAATGAGCTAGCCCCAGTGTTCAAAATACTCTTTCAAGCATCGCTTAACCAGGGCAGAGTACCAAAGGACTGGAAAGAAGCTAATGTCACCCCCCTATTTAAAAAAGGAGAAAAATCTGATCCAGGAAACTACAGACCAGTATCACTTACCAGCATCACATGTAAAATACTAGAACACATAATATGTAGCAATATCATAAACCACTTAGACAAACATAATGTCCTCACCCCATACCAACATGGCTTTAGGAAATATAGATCATGTGAAACACAACTAATAGGACTAATTGATGATTTTTCAAAAGGTTTAGATAATAGTGAACAAATAGATGCTATCTTACTAGATTTTTCCAAGGCTTTTGACAAAGTTCACCACCATAGTTTGCTTAAAAAAT